CGCCACCTCCCGCCGCGATAGCGGTCTGTAATGATTAACGACGAGCGTTAATGCCCGAAATTCGATCGCCACTCGACAATTATTGCGAACGTAGACGACAGAACGTGGATGACGCGAGATATTGAACGTTCGTGATGGTAAAAAGATTCGCGGGAGAAGGAAGAACGATTCGATCGTCAGAATAGAACGTATCGAATCTGCGATCCATGAAACTCGCGAACGGTAAGCGTTACTTTGCCAACCCTGTAATTTTAATTCGGCACAAAGTCCAACGTCCGTTCGCGAAATTGCGGTGTTTAATTGCGATCAACCGTGTAATGACCGGCAGCGGTCAATTAACACTTCCAAGACCGGCGAGTATGAGTGTACGTGTGCGAGGAGCAAGAACGTGTGACACGTATACACGGAACTGGTCATCGAATATATATACGTATTGAACAGATATACGCGAACACGTAACACACAAAGTAGACGCCTGGAATTGGCGTTTTTGTTTCCCGATATCAATTTCGGAGCGACGATGAGGGGCTTTTAATTGGGACTGGCGATGCTGGGTGGCAGTGGCGACGTTGCTGATGGCGACCAAATCGTCTATCGACAGTAATGGAACGCGATAAATACAAGTAAATCTCGACACGAGGAGATTTACAATACTTTTTTTCTTTTTTCAGACTATCCGAAAATTAACCGTAATATCGATTTCATCGCGCGAGTTCAACGATCTATAATGCCGTATTATTTAAAGAAAATATTAATAAAAATATATCTCGTCGTTGGAAACATTTAAAACATAAATTTTTTTAATTTACGATAATCCCTTTTTATCCCAAGATATAATTTGTTCAAATTAATTATATAGTTTTCATTTGAAATCTATATAATAGATTCGAAAATAAGGTTAACATTATTCTTCTCGATAGTTGCTACATGAGATAACAAGAATTAATTTTCAATCGCATATTTTTCCATTTTTTCGCATTCTATGAAATTCATATTTTATGGTTACATTATCGCGATACATAATTGTCGTGCTAGAAAACAATTTTTCAGTGGACAATTTGCATTTCGAATTGAAATCATGTTGATAAAGACTATCCGATTACATCTTATTTCATGTCATTATTATGTTATTAAAGATTTTAATTTTACAAATATGACGAAACGTAATATGAAAGCGGGAAAATTCACTGAGAAACGTTTGAAAGAACAGTGACTCGAAATATGTACCTTTGTTATTCTCAGCCAAGATTGGTTTCCGTTGCGATACAATAGCTTTGCCCGCAGTAGGTCTCTAATCGATGATTCTGGAAGTGGTTATATTTCACTGCACACATTCTATTACGAAGTTACAATTTGATCGATCGTAGGAAGCGAATACCGTCTGACCCGCACGAGAAGCGTGAACTCCACCTCGATTTGAATTTCACGTAGAAAAATGACACCGACGTTTGTCCATCTAGCGTTCGAATACCGAACTAAAAGTTCAACATTCGAGCGGTAACTGCCTTCCAAGTGACTTTATCTTTGAATCGTCATTTCCGCTGCTTATCGCTTAGGTAAACTATTCATGTTTTAAATATAGAATAGTAGTATAAGGAAAACATTATCGCTGTTTCTATTATGAATTGTATGATAATTAAAAAATCAAATTATAAACTATTGAAGAAAATCTATTAACTATCGTGATTCGTGTTTTACGATTTCGATGATAAACGATTGAGCGTCCGAGATAAATTAGTTAAAATTAAACTCCGACAGAAACTAACAAAGAAGAAGCGTAGATAGAGGAAGGGTGACGAGAATGATTGTAGGTATGGGGATGAAGCGTAGAATGGGGAATGGGCAAACAGAGCGCAATTAACGTGCGACCATTAAATATGTACGCGAGTTACTGCGTCACGATACGTGTGTGCAGGCCAGCGCAAATGCATTGGCTATCGAACGCTCGCACGGCACTACCGATCTCTTCTTGCATCCTGTTGGCACAGCCGCTTGATTAGCTCCGCCATATTTACATATCATTAGCCGAGTGTTTGTCCGAGTTGGGAGTTCCCCTTCTGCTTCACCGTTGTCCGTCAATATACGAAATAAAAGTTATTACGCCGTATAAAATATTATGTTGATAAAAATTCACTCTTATAGAAGCTATTCTCACATACTAATTTTTAATACATTCTTTTAAAAATTCAGATTGAAAAATTTTGAATAAACCATCGCGTATAAATAAACTTTTACATTCTAGAATTTATATTTCAGTTTCACTTTATTCATAAAAATACGAATTTCGATTTTAATCTCGTTGCCTACATTGCATAACAATTTCTATTTTTGTTGTTTTACACTACTTAAATGTATTGGACAAGCTGGCGGTAATTGCCACAAGAGGAAAACAAAAACGGAATAAATAGATGAACGAACTCGATTGCTTAACGTCCAATTTTCAATTGGACAAGTTATCTCGACGATAATGTAATTAATTCATCGTTATATAAATCGTTATGTTCGACACAATGTAATTTCTGAAAGACATCTGCCTAATAGCATAAAGTGAAATATAGTAAATACTGCTATATTAATTTATCAAAGAAAATGCTTTTGAATATAACAAATATACGTTTAAAATAATAGTAAATAAACATTTTGTTCTGTTCCGTCGAGACATTTACTTGAATGTAA